TCGTATTTGAATTTTAATTTTTTCTACAAATCCAAATAATTTGAAGTTTTAGGCATGCATTCTTCTAATCAAGGCGCACTTAATGAAAATATTTTAAAAATAATTCACAAAAAATAAATTAATCAAAATACTCCCGAAATGTTTTAGGGGTATTTTAATCAATTTATTTATTATAAATTATTTTTTTTATTTTTATTAGATTCTCCTATTTTTGAAGAATCTACGTCTAAAATTTTATATTATTTGGATTCATAGAAAAAACATTAAAATTCAAATACAAAATGAAGTCGTGACTGTCAGATCAGCTCAGATTCAATCTGGTTTGTTGGGCTCATATGGACGCATATATTCATATGAGCTAATGAGCTAAAGCACGTCCGTGACGGAGGCAAAACAATGTAGTAATTCATCCATCTTTATGTTCATATGAGTTACTGGGCTAATGGGCAATGCCCTCTTTATTCTTTCGCCACGTGTCCCACCATATTAGTAAGCCTATTCTCTCTCTCTCTCCCCTCATCTCTCTCATGCCATGCATGTCGCCCATCCATCTTCTCTCAAATCCTATTCTCTCCTTTTGTCTCTCTCTCTCCTAATAAATCAACTTTCTTAAAATTTCTCTCATATTTTCTTTTTCCTAATAAATCTCTCCTCTCCCCCATAATTTTCTCTCTTCTCTGTCCTTAACAATATTCTCATGCACCTCCACTATCTCTTTCCTAATAACTCCTTTAAATCTCTCCACCCATATTTATCCATATCTTTCTATAACATCCTATTTCTCTCTCCATCTCTTTCCATAATGGAATCCATTTTCTCTCTCTCCACACATTCTCCCTCTCTATCCCATATTTCTCTCTCTTCCTCTATTTCTATAATGCTCTATTTCTCTCTCCCTCTCTTTCCATAATGGAGTCTACTCTCTCTCTCTCCACACACTCTCTCTATCTCATATTTCTATCTCTTCCTCTCTTTTGATAATGTTATATTTTTCTTTCTTCTTTTTTTCCTCTTCCCTTCTATCTTTTCCTCTCCTGTTTCTCACACCACCCCCTTTATCACAAAACACACATTCTCTACTCCTGTTCTATTTTTATAACTCTAGATATTCATTGTAATGGCATTTTCAAGGTAAATACTCTTCTTTTTTTATGCATTTATTCATTGTTTTTTCTTTCATTTTCAGCATTTTCCATCACGTTCTCTTTAGTTTCTATGTGGAGTTGAGTTTTGTTTTTAGATTATGTTGAATTGAGTATTTTTGTTTATTTTTTTTAAAGCTTTTAGTGATCTACAAGGTAAATAATATTTTGTTTTTTTTTGCATTCTATGCATTTTTTTATTGCTTTTGCCTATATTTCGATCATTTCCATCATCTTCTCCTTAGTTTCTACGTGGAATTGATTTTTATTTTTTAGAATATTATGTAAAATCAAGTTATTTTTGTTTGTTTTTGTAGATCTTTGAGTGCTCTATAGAAGCCCTAAAATGATTTGTTGATTGATTCTCTGTAGATCAAGTCGTTTCGAGATGTTCTCAATGAATCTATTGTGATAACAGAATTTTGGGTTTTCATAGTAAGTAATATTCCGTTTTCTCTACATTTTTATGCATTTCTTCATTACTTTTACCTATATTTTCGGTCATTTCCATCACGTTCTTTTTAGTTTCAATATGGAGTTGATTTCTTTTTTTTTTAACAATATATGAAATTGAGTTCTTTTTATTTATTTTTGTAGATCTTTCAGTGGTCTACAAGGTAAATAACTTTTTGTTTTCTTTGCATTTCTGTGTATTTTTTCATTGTTTTTTCTCATTTCCATCATGTTTCTCCTTGGTTTATATGTGGAATTGATTTTAATTTGTTTTGAATATTATGTAAAATCAAGTTATTTTTTCATGTTTTTGTAGATCTTTGAGTGATCTATAGAAGCCCTAATATAATTTGTTGATTGAGGCTATGTAGATCAAGTTGTTTCAAGATGTTCTCTTTGGATCTACTGTGAAAACAAAATTTTGGATTTTCAAAGTAAGTAATCTTCTGTTGTCTCTGTATTTTTATACATTTTCAAAGTAATACCTAAATTTTCTTATAGAGAGAAACTATCTCAAAAATTTTTTTAGAAAGAAACTAACTCAAACTTTTAGTTTTAGATAGAAAAAATACTTTAAAATTTTATAGAAAGAAACTATATCATATTTTGGAGAGAGAAACTACCTAAAAGCGAGAGAAACTATCTCAAAAATTTTATAGAGAGAAACTATCTTAAATTTTAAGTTTTAGAAAGAGAAAAGGTATTAAAATTTTAGAAAAACAACCATATTAAATTTTAGAAAGAGAAACAGTAGAGAGAGAGGATTTGCATTTCTAGAAAAAAGATATTTTAGGCGATCCAAATAGGAAATTTGCATTTTTTTGATTTCTACCAATGTAATCCAAACAACATATACCATGTTCCAACAAATGTCAATTTCAATAAATACCAATCCCAAGATTGACTTTTCCAGAGGATTGAAAAATCCAAGAAATCAAACGGGCTCTAAGGGTCTAGTTTTGTTGACTTTATAATTATAGAGTCACTTTTCCCCATTAAAGCATCTTTTAGCTTCACCTTACGGCATCTATTGAATTCCAGCCCTATTTTCTATTTAATCTTGTTCCTCTATATTCTAAGCTGCATAACCATCCTATTATTTTAACATTTAGAAAAGCTCATAAATCCACTTATTATGGAAATGAAGGAGAGATGCCACAGCTAGAATAGCATCGTCATTGATCTCCAATAAATGAAATTGATGGAAAACAATTCTTTTCCATCAGAGCAGTGTATATCTATCAGCCGTTATGCAGTAAGATACCGAAGGTTTTATGAGAACCACAATAATTTCCCTTGAATGACCAAAATATAGAATAACTGAACAACTGAACAACTTGAGTAGTACATGAAATGATATGTCTAGAGAAAAACTAAACATGAAATAATAGCTAAGCTGTTATTCTAGAGGTAAGATCACCAATACTTCTTGTCAAACTTGCCAAAGATTCAGCATATTTATGCACTCTGAAAGAAAATTCTAATCATCTGTGTATGTATTTGCTAAAGTGCACATGAGATTTAACTCATTTTGAAAGTACAAGGACTTCTTTGGGGGACGACGACATCTCTTCTTCCTCTTCAGAATCAGAAACATCTTATTCTAGTGAAAATCAATCAGAGGAGGATGAAGGTGAGGAAGCTTACTCCTCTGAAGTGGTGTCGCCTTCAGCTGTTCTGCTTCCCCCATTTAGAGCTGCAAATGATGATACCGAGGCGGCTTTGTACTGCCGCATTTCGGCAAGAGGCACAGGATGCTTACTTGCCACTCGCACATAGATGGTTACTTGCGTGATGTTCGAAGTCTTTTGGAAACCTTCTAAGTAGTACAAGCTAGGTTATAATCCAATCGACACACCTACACACAAAACAAAACCTACCACTGCGTGTGTGTACCAGCCATGGGATGGATTCCATTTTGTACTATATTTTGTACATGAACGTTTGATGTTGTTGCAGGAATTTCTGATGCTTCCGCAGGACGTTTGATGTTGTTGCAGGAATTTCTGATGCTTCTGGAGTATTCATAAGTTGATTTTGCCCCTTCAAGATTCATTAGTTGATTTTGTCCCTCAAGTAATTGATTGAACTGTGTGATTTGAGCTATCAAGGTCAACTTTACATAGTAGGCCTTGAAGAAATCAGGATTTTCTTCTTCCAGTTTCTTCCATACTGGATCCAAAAAAAAGTAATAATAATAAAAAATAAATAAAAGGCAAGTATAGTGGACCAATTTTATAACATATTGCATACAATAAAAGGTAATAATACTAATAAATACATAAAAGTAAGTATAATGGGCCAATTTTATATCAGTTTACATTAATCAAGCATCTATAATTAGAAGTCTCAAGAGGTCAATCAAGAACAAAATATCATGAAGATCTTCAAGACACCATCACTGCGACAGAGGAGGTGATAACAGGTGAAAGAAAATATATTGGAAATCTTTTTTTTGACTTTTAGTATGATTAAAATAAATACCATACCATGCTCTGTTGGGCAGGTACAGTAACGGAAATAGTTATAACATCTTTAAACAAATACCATACCTTCCCCTGTTGGAGAAATAGTTAATAACATCTTTTTCCTTGATGCTGCGTGATACATTATAACGGTGTAAACAAAATGAGGACATGAAGCATAGTAAAACGGGATGAAGTAAATGTATGATGGCTAGGACCTTGAGATTCTAAAACATGAAAATGCAAAATAAGAACTAAAAGACTAGAAAAAGTGCACTTAATAATACTCATACCTTATCATTCCTCATTATTTGGTCATAAATATTAAGTATCCAATGCATGAAACAACATATAATTCATATACAGTATTTAAAAAGAAAATGAGTACCAGAGCAAAGGACACTTGAATAAACACCTTTTTTTTTTTTTCTTTTTTGAATAGAACACTTGAATAAACATATTTCAATACCAAAATGAAAGGAACTAAAAAAAACCAAGATGATGATGTACAACAACAATACACATAAAAAAAGGAGGGTTCAACCGTGAAAGAGAGCATAGTAAATGGATTCTTCTGTAAATACCTAGATTTGTGATTGAAGGGTTTATTTTCTTCATGTCAATGAGGACCTTTTTGACCTCTTCTCTATTCATATACTTTTGTAGACAGCATTCAATAAGATTAGAAACCTACAGTAGTCATGTCTCAAAACAATAAGGAATAATTCAAAATTTTTTGAATATCAAAGGGAGCTAAAAATTAGAACTTGAGGAAATAGAGAGCACTTCTTACATGATCAATGTATTGTAGGGCTGCTTCTTTATGGTTGCGGCATGAGATAGATATTGAACTGGAGGCAACTGGAGGGACCTCATTTCGACTGGTGTTTTGTTGATATCCTTGAGACTCAGGTGAAATAGTTACTGAACTGGAGGCAATTGGAGGGACCTCATTTCGACTTGTGTTTTGTTGATATCCTTGAGACTCAAGTGAAATTTGGGACCAAGATTTCATTTCCATGAATGAGATTCCTGCAAGGTATAATACCAAGAACAACTCAATTAAAGATATTATTTTCAACAAAAGGTGCATTCAACTCAACTCAATTAAGGAGATTATTCTCAACGAAAGTATTTAAAAGATCAACACTAAAATCTAAAGTTTTATTATAATGGAGAAAACCTTGTTAAACAAAAAATGGCATAGAACTCCCAATTAAATACAACCCATTAGCACCCTGTATACACCTCCTACACAATCTAAACATCCCACAAAATTTTACATAATCTTAACCTTATCTTTGATATTTCAAGATAAGGTGACATTCATAGTAATCATGATCATTGAAAGACCAAAACCTGTTTAATTGACAAAACAAGTCTTTTTTTTTTTTTATGAAATTGATTGACCAAAATCTTCTCACCCAAGATTCAGATGACCTCCCATTATCTAAATTCCCATAAATGACAATGACCACGCTAGGAAACCAATCCTTCACCATAGGATCAACTAGATCCAATTTAAGCCGAAATTTGATTTGGAAGTTTTGATTTAAGGTATCTGAAGAAAGTTTAACAGAAATGGGAGGAATCGATTCTCACTGACAAAATACGCCTCAAAATTGTGGGTAAAATTCATATTTATAATTTAAATTTATAAAATTGATTTGTCTAATTTTTTTATTTTCCCTATGTTGTATATGAAAGTGCGACCAATGTGATCTAACGGGGTTTTTTTTTTTCTCACCCCGTTTCTTTTCTTCTCTTTTGGCAAAGATCACTAACAAGTAGTTTTATTGCAATAACTCTTACTTCAAATAAAATAAAACCTTACAAATCCAAGATCTTGAGAACTTTGATACCACTAAACCAATTTTTTTTAATCAAAGAAAAGAACCATAAATCTTGTACTTGATAATATAAAAATTGTACAATTTTCTTTAATCAAAGAAAAAAACCACAAATCTTGTACTTGATAATATAAAAACTGTACAGTTAAATATGTAAGATACAAAAAAGAATACCGGAGATTACCTTAACCAGGCTTATTACACCCTACACTGAGTCACCACCATCCGATGGCGTGGGATCAACGATCTTCAATCTTCGTTCAATCTCAACCGGAAAAACTAATTTTGGCCAAGCTCTTCAATGGGACCTTTATGCTCACCCAAAACTCATTTATGCTCAAGCTCTTCAATAGGACCTTTATGCTCACCCAAGACTCTTTTATGCTCAAGCTCTTCAATGGGACCTTTATGCTCACTAAGACTTCCTTTATGCTCACCCAAGACTCCTTATGATCGGTCCAAAAAATTACTTCAAAAAAAAATCCTTTCTAATTTTTCTTGAGCCCAAAAATTAGAAGGAATGAAGTATCTTGAGAATGGGGGGTGTTCCCTCCCCTATTTATAATGGTGGAGAGAGAGGGACCTTTATCTGTTTGATGAACGAGGCCATTTGTCCTTTTAATTAATGAGGAGTAAGAGAGAGGTGAATGATAAAGTAAGTAAGATAAAAGATAGGCCGATAAAGTAGGACGTGAGGAGGAGAGATAGAGTTACGTGAGATAGAGATAGAGTTACGTGAGATAAGAGTTATGTGAGGATGGGTTCTTTCATGAGAGGGAGGAGATAAAAAGTGATGGGTAAGAGGGGAGAGAGAGAGGTCCTCAATAAATTTGGGTCTAGGCTATCCATTGTTTGTTTCACAAGATTGAATCTGAACTGTCGATCAATAGTGACTTGTGATGTGAGATCTGAGCTATTCATTCCATAGATGGGCTATTAATATTACGAAATGTGCTGAACCCTTATCCCCTTTTTTTTTTTACTATTATCCCATCAAATAAAAATTAATTAATTAAAATATTGTGTTTATTAAAAATATATCCATAGCCTTATCAGGCCTTCTAAAATATTTTAATCAAATCTCTTAAAGATAAAACACTTTATCAACTCAAACCAATTTGACATAAAATATATCAACAAATCCCATAAAGTGGTGACTTGCCATCCAAGATTGGGACTTATAGGCCCCATCTTCTACAATATGGTGGACCCACATGTACAATGGGCATCCATAAAATTTCATATATTTAAAATAATAAAATAAATTTTAAAATATTATTTGAATATTTAAATCATTAAAAAATTAATATCTTTAATTTTATAAACCCAAATATTATAAATAAAATATCCAAGGATTTATAAAAATTCAAATAATAATTTTAAAATAATATATATCATAAAAAAATATAATTAAATTCATTTGATGGGAAAAAGATCCATATGGTCAAGTAACGAAATCAATAATGAGGCACTTCACCTTCAACTGTGGACTACATATTACGATTGCTTTATCATGCCAACCCAGCGTTGCCCATGACTCACAGTCCATGCAGGTGCTCATTAGCGGGTCACCAAAGTCTGGCCGATGAGCCAAGGGGTCACAATCCCCGTATGTAGATCTCAAGTTCTCCCCTAGAGATGAGTCAATGTTACCTAGACCTGATACGACCACAACTCTATGACACATAGATGTATCTCTCACATGTGCATACACTTTACCCTAAAATGTGGTTTGCTCGCTTTCTTGAACGGTCTATCAATATGCATATCGTGTGATGGTATATGGATGAGGCTTCGGCCCTATCTCCATAGGCAACTATCATACACAAAGGTCACGCAGTCCCGCGGCGCACTCATCCGGGCATATACTCTGACATCATCAAGGGATGACTCATTAGGACCTTTCTCGGCTTATCCTCTATGCCCGGGTAACATGGGGTTTTACCAACTGGCTGACATAGACCGTCAAATACAGTCCGGTATCTGCAAACATCGTTTGCATGGTATAGTCCACGAGGGACCACACTCCCACTGAGTCTATAATCTACAACATCAAATGTTTCATCACAATCACTCATAAGTCCTTTAAAGGACACATAAACCCAATAGTATAGACTTCATTTTTTTATGCGTTTTCTAATTTTTGACCATTTTCTCCCGAATTTGTGGGATTTTATAATTATCTTGACCTACTCAAGGAAAACTCAAATGAGTCAACTTAGACTCATATGAGTAGATAGACCAGGCTAGGGACCGAGATCAATACTTAAGCATAGCATTTTCAGACATTGTGAAATTTTTTTGTTTTTTTTTTGGAATGTACTTACTTTCAAATACTTAAAAAATTGAAAAAAAAGGATTTTTTTAAAATTTTTTTTTAGAAAGCATGAAAATACAAAAAACAAATTTACTATTTAAAAAAAATAAAAAAACAAAATCTACTGATTGGTGTTTCTCCCAGCTTCCCTAGCTTCAATAATAGCCGCTTTCTTTTCACAAAGTAAGAGTTACTCCAACAAAAAGATGAAATTGCTCCATTCTTCTACTAAAAGACTGAAAATTTGAAGAGTTGTATGGAAGAAAGTTATGCATCACAAGACCAACAAACATATAGCTGTGAGAAAAGAATAACCAGCAATAGAAAACCCCATTAAAAATAATAACCTAAAGATAATATTGCAATTGGTAATAAAAACAGATGGTAATTGGTAATAAACGTTTGAACAGGATAATAGATTTAGAATTGTATGAAAAAATAGACGAATTGTATGGAAGAAGGTTATGCAGCAAAAGACCAACAAACATATAGCTGTGAGAAAAGAATAACCAGCAATAGAAAACCCCATTAAAAATAATAACCTAAAGATAATATTGCAATTGGTAATAAAAACAGATGGTAATTGGTAATAAACGTTTGAACAGGATAATAGATTTAGAATTGTATGAAAAAATAGACGAATTGTATGGAAGAAGGTTATGCAGCAAAAGACCAACAAACATATAGCTGTGAGAAAAGAATAACCAGCAATAGAAAAACCTCAATAAAAAAATAATCTACAAATAATATGGCAACTGCTAAGAAAGAACGGATGGTAATTGTATGAAAAAATAAAAGATTTGTTTGGAAGAAGGTTATGCAGCAAAAGACCAACAAACATATAGCTGTCAGAAAAGAATAACTAGCAATAGAAAAAGGAAAAAAATTATATAAGGTTGCAACCTTATAATGTAGAGCTACAAATGCACCTCAAAAATCTATATGAAAAGGTAGTTTTAACCCTTTGATCGATCATCTTGAAATCAAAATGTATGACTATGAAAAATAAAAAGATTTTAAATCTCAGAAATAGTGCATTTTACAACATATTATCTACACTGTCCATTTTCAAGATTGTCATATGTTTTAGCGATCTACTTGATTTTAACCATTTTTTGAATTTTAAAATTTTATAATTAGATATAAAAATAGATTTTGAGATAATCCTAAGAACATTTTACATCAAAATTATTGATAAAATTTGAAGGTGCACCTTACCTCTACGGCTATGAATGCATCCGTATGCTAACTGCACCCATAGAAAAACCCCAATAAAAAAATAATCTACAAATAATATGGCAATTGGTAATAAAAACGGATACTAATTAGTAATAAACAAACGTTTGTAGGATAATGGATTTAGAGAAAGAAAGAAGGTGAGAAGAGAAGGAGAAGTTAAAATGAGGCATTATAAAATTTACCGGCGAATACCACCATGCAAAAAAACCATCTTTAAGAAAGAAATTTAATCATCAAATCACACTAAAAAAAGAACAAATGCGAATGAGTATTCCAAAGACCACGAACTCAAGAGAAAAAAGACCACGAACTCAAGAGAAAAAACAGCACGCCTCGCTCTCTCCATGAAAACACTTTCGTTATTACTCAAATTTCAGTCCCCCATTTATATCTATTTATACTTTTTTTTTTTGGTGCGGTTTCCATAAGGTTGCAATTTTAAACAATCCAATTAAGGCACACCTTTAAATTTGATAATAACATGTAATTTTGACGTTAAATATTTTTAGGATTATCTCAAAATCTATTTTCATATCTAATTATAAAATTTTAAACTTCAAAAATGGATAAAATCAAGTAGATCTATAAACATATGAAAATTTTAAAAAAGGATGGTCTAGATAATGTGTTGTAAGATGCACTATTTCTGGGACTCAAAATCATTTTTCTTTTATAATCATACATCTCGATGTCGAGATGCTCAATTAGAGGGTTTCTAAACATTAAAATAATATTTTTCGATGAATTTTTTAATATTTTACTATGGATTTTTGAGGTGCATCCGTAGTTCTACATTTTAAAGTTGCAACCTTATATAAACGTTTTCCTATTTTTTTATACTCAAAGAGCTTATCCAATTAGACTCAAAGAACTTATTCAACCTCACATAATCCTTATCAGATTTTATTTCACATCACAAAGATAACCCTAATATATCTCCCTACAACAAACTAAAAATGATAACTAAAATAAATAAATCTAATTTTAAATTATTTCTATCTACGTGATCTCTAGTTTCAACTTTCAACCCAACATAAAAAGATAACTCTCCCTCTCTCCCTCTAAAATAGAAAACAAAATATATTTCTTAAAACCTAAAAATAAACACCTTGTACCCCCAATTAATACAAAAAATAAATTTTCCTAAACGTGCCCTTCCATCACCGCTCCTACCAAAAACGACCACATCTCTTATTTGCTTTTAAAACAAGACTCCAAAAGATAAAAGAATGACTCTACTTTCCTAAAAAAATAGACCACAAATAGAACCTAACCTTCCAGAGCCAACTCAAAAAATAAATTTTATCAACTAAACTACAAAAACTCATACTAACTCTATTTCTAAAAACAATAAAATATAATAAAAATAAAATAAAAAGTCTACTCAATCTCTTAAAATAAAGTTAATAAAATTAAATTAAATTTTTATAGTCACGAGATTTTTATATGCATCGTAAAAACTTTCAGGTTTTTTCTGGCAAAGAGAGGGTGAGGGAGAGGACCTAATGAAGAGAGGATGAGGGATAGGACGTCATGTTGAAAGAAGAACAGATTTTGGGCTACGTTCTTTACTTATTCATGTTGGTTTAATTCATAAGAATATTTTTTCGTTGTTATCATGTAAAAAAAGCTATTTTGATCGTTATCATGTAC